TTCAAGGTCGACTCCTCCACTACCACATAACATGGTCGACCTGACACCGTCGCCCGTCGTGTCGCCGACTCGACAACGCCTCCTCCTCAATCTGAGAGTCCGAGCTCAAAACGGCCGGCCGAGCAGACGGACCTGCCGGCTCCGAAGAAGATCCGGTTGAGCCACGAGGTGGACGAGGATGCACAAATCTGGCAAGGCAACTCCTCCATCCGCAAGTGGGCCTCGAACGTCCTTCTCCCCAAGGACGTGGCGGTGACTGGTGGCCTGGGGGACGAGGTCATCATTGAGGCCTCGCTACGCCAATCATACCGCGTAAGTGTTTCCGACTCGTCTCTTTTTCCATTCTTTCTTCTTTCACTATCCGACTTCTGGTTTGCCTTGCAGAACCTCACCTTCCAAATGGAGATGAGTAGGCGACTGAGGGAGTACAAGACCGGGCTGAAGTCTATGGCTGTCCGAGTGCACAAAACGGAGGAGGCCTTCTTGGAGGAGCAAGCTAAGCACGCCAAGGCGGTGGAGGTGCATAACTCCAAGATGCTGAGGGTCACTCGTCAATGGGAGGAGAAGCGGGACAAGGTGGCGACCATTGCCGCGACCTCGGTGGAAGACTACAAGAAGTCGGCGTCCTTCGAGGCGGACGTGAAGGCGGCGATAGAGGCCCGGCAGAAGGAGATCGCCAAGGCGTGGCTGGCGACGCCGGAAGGTGACGACTTCCTTCTGGATTTGGGCGAGCGCGACTATCGCCTCGGCTTCCGCGAGGCGCAGACAGAAATCCACTCCGCCTTGCTAGTCCGCGACTCCTCTTTTACCCCCGAGAGCTGGGGCCTTAAGCCAGTTATAGACGCTCTCCCGGCGGCTGAAGGTCCGGCGGCGGCTGTTGATCCGGCGGCTCCTCCCGATCTTACCGAGTCCTCCCCTCAGGTAGAGGACCCTTCTTCTGTTCCTCCAGCTGGATCAACGGCGGGGGCACAAGTTGAAGGGGTCGATGTCGACACCCCCTCCCCAGTAGTTTAGGGCTATTCTTTTAAGATAGTACCTTTTGTAAAGGCTGGCCTCCTTCTCGGGCCTTTTTAAATTTTAAAGAAATTCCCATTATCTCTTTCTTTCCGTGTTATCTTGGACTCGACGCTTTTTCTTTAACCTTTAATGGTTCTGCAAATCAAAGAAATATTCTTAAGGCATCAGGCCCTGCTAACCCTGAGGGACGACTTAGGATCGAGGCCTTGTTAACTCTTCGGGTGCTCTCCAAATCCCGCAGTCACGGCTACTCCTTTTAGCCTCTCACGGAAACGACTAGGGTCAGTGCCCCATAGCTTCTTTATATTCTCTCACCGAATCCCTCAGTCGAGGCGACTCCTCTTGGCTTTTTCACGGAAACGACTAAGGGTCTGGGCCCTTGTTTCCTAACTTTCTCTCGCCGAGTCCCTCAGTCGAGGCGACTTCTCTTGGCTTTTTTACGGAAACGACTAAGGGTCTGGGCCCTTGTTTCCTAACTTTCTCTCGCCGAGTCCCTCAGTCGAGGCAACTCCTCTTGGCTTTTTCACGGAAACGACTAAGGGTCTGGGCCCTTGTTTCCTAACTTTCTCTCGCCGAGTCCCTCAGTCGAGGCGACTTCTCTTGGCTTTTTTACGGAAACGACTAAGGGTCTGGGCCCTTGTTTCCTAACTTTCTCTCGCCGAGTCCCTCAGTCGAGGCAACTCCTCTTGGCTTTTTCACGGAAACGACTAAGGGTCTTGACCCTTGTTTCCTAACTTTCTCTCGCCAAGTCCCTCAGTCGAGGCGACCCCTTAGGCTTTTTCTTTCTCAGAAACGTTTAGGTTCAGTGCCCCATAGTTTCTTTATATACTCGCCGAGTCCCTAAGTCGAGGCGACTCCTCTTAGCTTTTTCACGGAAACGACTAAGGGTCTGGGCCCTTGTTTCCTAACTTTCTCTCGCCGAGTCCCTCAGTCGAGGCGACTCCTCTTGGCTTTTTCACGGAAACGACTAAGGGTCTGGGCCCTTGTTTCCTAACTTTCTCTCGCCGAGTCCCTCAGTCGAGGCGACCCCTTATGCTTTTTCTTTCTCAGAAACGTTTAGGGTCAGTGCCCCATAGTTTCTTTATATTCTCTCGCCGAGTCCCTCAGTCGAGGCGACTCCTCTTGGCTTTTTCACGGAAACGACTAAGGGTCTGGGCCCTTGTTTCCTAACTTTCTCTCGCCGAGTCCCTCAGTCGAGGCGACTTCTCTTGGCTTTTTTACGGAAACGACTAAGGGTCTGGGCCCTTGTTTCCTAACTTTCTCTCGCCGAGTCCCTCAGTCGAGGCGACTCCTCTTGGCTTTTTCACGGAAACGACTAAGGGTCTGGGCCCTTGTTTCCTAACTTTCTCTCGCCGAGTCCCTCAGTCGAGGCGACTCCTCTTGGCTTTTTCACGGAAACGACTAAGGGTCTTGGCCCTTGTTTCTTAACTTTCTTTCACCGAGTCCCTCAGTCGAGGCGACCCCTTAGGCTTTTTCTTTCTCAGAAACGTTTTGGGTCAGTGCCCCATAGTTTCTTTATATACTCGCCGAGTCCCTAAGTCGAGGAGACTCCTCTTAGCTTTTTCACGGAAACGACTAAGGGTCTGGGCCCTTGTTTCCTAACTTTCTCTCGCCGTGTCCCTCAGTCGAGGCGACTCCTCTTGGCTTTTTCACGGAAACGACTAAGGGTCTGGGCCCTTGTTTCCTAACTTTCTCTAGCCGAGTCCCTCAGTCGAGGCGACTCCTCTTGGCTTTTTCACGGAAACGACTAAGGGTCTGGGCCCTTGTTTCCTAACTTTCTCTCGCCGAGTCCCTCAGTCGAGGCGACTCCTCTTGGCTTTTTCACGGAAACGACTAAGGGTCTTGGCCCTTGTTTCCTAACTTTCTCTCGCCGAGTCCCTCAGTCGAGGCGACCCCTTAGGCTTTTTCTTTCTCAGAAACGTTTAGGGTCAGTGCCCCATAGTTTCTTTATATACTCGCCGAGTCCCTAAGTCGAGGCGACTCCTCTTAGCTTTTTCACGGAAACGACTAAGGGTCTGGGCCCTTGTTTCCTAACTTTCTCTCGCCGTGTCCCTCAGTCGAGGCGACTCCTCTTGGCTTTTTCACGGAAACGACTAAGGGTCTGGGCCCTTGTTTCCTAACTTTCTCTAGCCGAGTCCCTCAGTCGAGGCGACTCCTCTTGGCTTTTTCACGGAAACGACTAAGGGTCTGGGCCCTTGTTTCCTAACTTTCTCTCGCCGAGTCCCTCAGTCGAGGCGACTCCTCTTGGCTTTTTCACGGAAACGACTAAGGGTCTGGGCCCTTGTTTCCTAACTTTCTCTCGCCGAGTCCCTCAGTCGAGGCGACTCCTCTTGGCTTTTTCACGGAAACGACTAAGGGTCTTGGCCCTTGTTTCTTAACTTTCTTTCACCGAGTCCCTCAGTCGAGGCGACCCCTTAGGCTTTTTCTTTCTCAGAAACGTTTTGGGTCAGTGCCCCATAGTTTCTTTATATACTCGCCGAGTCCCTAAGTCGAGGCGACTCCTCTTAGCTTTTTCACGGAAACGACTAAGGGTCTGGGCCCTTGTTTCCTAACTTTCTCTCGCCGTGTCCCTCAGTCGAGGCGACTCCTCTTGGCTTTTTCACGGAAACGACTAAGGGTCTGGGCCCTTGTTTCCTAACTTTCTCTAGCCGAGTCCCTCAGTCGAGGCGACTCCTCTTGGCTTTTTCACGGAAACGACTAAGGGTCTGGGCCCTTGTTTCCTAACTTTCTCTCGCCGAGTCCCTCAGTCGAGGCGACTCCTCTTGGCTTTTTCACGGAAACGACTAAGGGTCTTGGCCCTTGTTTCCTAACTTTCTCTCGCCGAGTCCCTCAGTCGAGGCGACCCCTTAGGCTTTTTCTTTCTCAGAAACGTTTAGGGTCAGTGCCCCATAGTTTCTTTATATACTCGCCGAGTCCCTAAGTCGAGGCGACTCCTCTTAGCTTTTTCACGGAAACGACTAAGGGTCTGGGCCCTTGTTTCCTAACTTTCTCTCGCCGAGTCCCTCAGTCGAGGCGACTCCTCTTGGCTTTTTCACGGAAACGACTATGGGTCTGGGCCCTTGTTTCCTAACTTTCTCTCGCCGAGTCCCTCAGTCGAGGCGACCCCTTAGGCTTTTTCTTTCTCAGAAACGTTTAGGGTTAGTGCCCCATAGTTTCTTTATATACTTGCCGAGTCCCTCAGTCGAGGCGACTCCTCTTGGCTTTTTCACGGAAACGACTAAGGGTCTGGGCCCTTGTTTCCTAACTTTCTCTCGCCGAGCCCAGGCGGTGGTTAACAGTAATTCGTATTCTTTTATTCAAGTCGTTTAAGACCTTCGGGCCTATTCATGGCCTAACCTCTTCTACTGATAGAACTTCTTCAAGTGGACGACGTTCCAGATCCGGTCTACGGGCCTGCCTTCCAGAGTTTCGAGCTTGTAGGTACCGGCCTGGACCACCGCGGCAATGTGATAGGGTCCTTCCCACTTTACCGCAAACTTGCCACCTTCCGTGGGCTGGCTTGCTTGCCGGTCTCGTAGTACGAGTTCGCCGACCTGGAAAGTTCGTGAGCGAATCCTTCGATCGTGATATCTCTTTACCGCTTGTTGATACTCGACCATCCGAGCACTCGCGGCTTCCCTTCCTTCTTCTAGGAAATTTTTCTCAATTCGAAGATATTCCTCATTCTCCGTGTCGGAATAAGTGTGGACCCGGTGAGTGGGTTCAACCGCTTCAATCGGGACCATGGCTTCGAAGCCGTACGCGAGGGAGAATGGACTTTCTCTGGTCGCTCGCCGCTGCGTGGTGCGATAAGCCCATACAACTCAGTCGAGCACATCCGCCCAATTTCCTCTTATGTCTTCCAATTTCTTTCGGATTCCGTCCACTATGGTCCAATTCACATTTTCGACCTGCCCGTTGGCCTGCGGATACGCCACGGAGACCTTGGTATGGCGGATATCGTGTCGGCGACAGAAGTCAGCAAACGCTTGGCAGTCAAACTATTACCCATTGTCGCTGACAATATGCTCGGGCAAGCCGAAGCGGCAAATCACCCTCTTCCATAGGAAGCGTCGGCATTGGTACTCGGTGATAGTGGCCAACGGTTCAGCCTCGACCCACTTGGTGAAGTAGTCGATAGCCACGACACAAAATTTCAGGCCCCCGGGGGCTACCGGTAATGGGCCCAATAAGTCGATTCCCCACTTAGCAAATGAGATAGCCGTGGTGACCGGCGTGTAGAATGTAGCCGGCCGAGTGTCCTTTCTGGCGAACGCCTGACAAATGCCACATTTGGAAATCCACTCGATGCAATCTCGCATCATAGTCGGCCAATAATACCCCTGGACGACTAACTTGCGGGCGAGCGTGTGGGCGCCCTGGTGTGCGGCGCAGATGCCTCTATGAGCTTCGTCCATTATTTTCTCGGCCTCGGGCCTGAGCAAGCATCTCAACAAAGGACCTCTGAATGACCGTTTGTACAGTTGTCCATCAATAATCTCGAAAGAAGGGGCTTTTCGTCGGACCCTGGCGGCGACCCCCGGGTCTTCCGGTAATTCGCCTGCTTCTTTGAATTGCCGAATGTCCTCTATCCAGAACATCTCGGGGTTTTTCTCCCTGTCCCATTCCTTGCCAGTTACCTGCTGGACTTCTAATGTCGTTTCCTCGATACTCGGTCGATCCAGTTCCTCCTTCTGGCAGATCTTCACAAGGTGGTCCGGTACTCCCTCTAAGGCAATCTTAGATAATATGTCGACTTCTACGTTGTCTACCCTGGCGATATATTCTATCTCGTAGGCTCCAAACTCCTTTAGCATCTCGACCGCCCGCTCTTTATATAAAGTCAGCCGCGGGCTCTTAGCCTCGCACGTGCCGGATATCTGCCCAACTACCAACCTGGAGTCAGTCTTGATTCTCAGTCGCTTGACTCCTAGGGTCTTGGCGAGGCGGAGACCATTCAGCACAGCTTCGTATTCGGCTTCGTTGTTGGATGTCGGGAATAAGTAGCTTAAGGCGTAGTACAGCCGGAATCCCTCCGGGGTGATGAGCATAATTCCACCCCCACAATGTCGTCGACTCGACGCTCCGTCCGCGTGCATTTCCCACCACTCGCCTAAATTGGTCTCAGTGGCACGCTCCTTTTCTTCTTCGCTCGCCGTGCACTCGACCAAGAAGTCGGCCAAGGCTTGACCTTTTATGGAAGGCCAGGGCTGGTACTCAATCCCATACTGGGTTAATTCCACGGCCCATTTCACCAGTCGGCCAGACGACGAGGGGTTTCGCAGGACACTCCCAAGCGGTTGGTCAGTCAACACTCGGACGGTGTGGGCTTGGAAGTACGGTGCTAGCTTCCGCACGGTGATCACCAACGCATATAAAATCTTTTCCAGGGCGGTGTACCGTAACTCGGCGGCCTTCAGGGAGCGGCTTACGTAATAAACCGGGTGCTGAACGCGCTCCTCTTCTCGGACTAGCACCGAACTCACCGCCTTAGAGGAGGCGGCTAAGTACAAAAGTAAGGGCTCGCCGGCCTGGGGAGTAGACAATACCGGAGGTGTTGAAAGATATTGCTTCAGCTCTTCGAACGATTGCTGACACTCGGCGGTCCAAGTAAATCCTTCCTTCTTCTTCATGGCCTCGAAGAAAGGCACAGTCTTATCCGCCGCCTTGCTCAGGAAGCGGCTAAGGGCGGCCAGTCGGCCAGTCAACCGTTGCAGGTCTTTTACGGTGCTGGGAGGCTGCATGTCGATGATGGCCTACACCTTCTCAGGATTAGGCTCAATACCTCGCTTTGTGACCATATAGCCCAAGAATTTTCCACCCTGCACGGCGAAAGCACACTTCTTGGGATTCAACCGGAGATTGTATCTTATCATCACTTTAAAACAGTCGGCCAGATCTTCCGCATGCTTGCTCTCCTCTCGGCTCTTGACGAGTATGTCATCGACGTATGCGGCCATCGATTTTCCTAGCAAGTGCTGGAACAATCGGGCCACCATTCGCGTGTAAGTGGCTCCAGCATTTTTAAGCCCGAAGGGCATGACTCGATAGCAATAGACCCCATCCAGTGTTAGAAACGCGGTCTTTTCTTCGTCCGCCGAATGCATGAAGATCTGGTGGTACCCCCTGAAGGCGTCCATGAAACTTAGCAAGGCTGACCCGGCAGTCTCATCAACCAACTGATCAATTCGCGGCAATGGGAACAGGTCCTTAGGGCAAGCCTTATTGAGGTCGGTATAATCGACGCACATCCGCCACGCCGGGGGTTTTGGTACAAGAACCACGTTTTCCAGCCACTCCGGGTACTTGACCTCTCGGACATGTCCGGCCGCTAGCAGCGTGCTCACCTCCTTTTTTACGAATTCTCTCTGATCGTTGGCCAGGTACCGCTTCTTTTGTGCGACTAGTCGATGCTCGGGGTCTACAGCGAGTCGATGCGATATAATGGATCGATCGACACCGGGCATGTCCTCTGGACCCCAGGCGAAAACCAGCTGGTGTTCCCGGAGCACTTTTATGATTTCTCCTCTTACCTCCTGAGGGAGGCCGACTCCGATTCGGACCTGCTTGTCCGGTTGTTCAGGATCAATCTTGACTTCCTCCAGCTCAACAGCCGGCTCCGGGTGAGGTATCATTGTTTTCTTTGGGGGCCTTTCCGTGATCTCATGGACCTGCATCTCGCGCTTGCCCATCCCTCGGCAGGCTTGCAGGTAACAATCTCGGGCGACTTTCCGATCGCTGCGCACCGTACCTATCCCATTCGGCTTACGGAATTTCAGGCAGAGGTGTTCGATTGAAATCAGAGCTCCTAGATCCTCCAAACCCGGTTGTCCGAGTATAGCGTTATGCGAGCAGGCCAGATTCACCACGATGAATTTCATACTGAGCTTCTGTACATCGGGGTAACCGCGGAGCTCAACTGGTAGGGTGATGGATCCTTCCGCCTCCATTGAGTCCCCAGTGAAGCCGGCAAGGGGAGTTTTGACAGGATTTAGCTGTTCTCGGGTCAATCCCATTTTAATGAAGGTCTCCAGGTATAGCACGTTGACGCTACTCCCGGTATCGACCAGGATTCGGCGAACGACAACCCCCTTGATATCCATGGCTATTACCAGCGCGTCCCGATGCGGCGTCTCTCCAGCCGGTAAATCCTTATCGGTGAAAGTGATGGGCTCTCGGCACACCTTCTTGGAGTTCTCCTCGCGCCCATACACCGTCCCAACATACAGCTGTCGAGCCCAGGTCTTTCGAGTGTTTGCCGAGTCTCCACCTTCCGGCCCGCCAACTATCATGTTGATAACCGACTTTTGGCGCCACTGGGCCTCGTCTTCTTCGGATGCTGACTGCTTGCCCCGTCCGCTCTCGACGGCGGCGGCGGCGGCGGGATCCTCGTCCCCTCGATTGGCCGACCTCCGCCTCCATTGATTAGGAGGCGGGGTCCCTTGCTGGATGATACCCTCTATGATCTTCTTCAGGTAAAAGCATTCTTCTGTGCTGTGGGTATAAGATTTATGGTAACGACAGTATTTAGAGATCTTACCCGTCTCCTCGCTCGTAGCACGGTCGTCGATTGATGGAGGCGGCGGCGGGGCGACCGCTTGTATTTCATGTATCGGCCGCTCGGGAGCCGGCCGGTAGGGGTGTACGACGGGCCTGTCGTAAGGTCGCCTGACTTCGGGTCGTCGGGTTACGTCCGGGCGCCTTTCCTTGGTTTCGGCTCGCGTTCTCTTTCCGCCGGCGGATCCGTCGACTTCACGTTGCCGTTTGTGTTTCATAGCCTGCTCTGTGTTGGCCCTCTTGTTTGCCATGTGAATGGCTTCCGCGTAGGTAGCCGGGCGGTTGTCCCGCAGATCTCGGTATAGCTGACCGGACCGCAAGGACTCGATGAAGAAGGTGAGTGCCGTCTGGTCCTCGACTTCCTCTATAGACTAGATTTCCTTTTGCCAGCGAGCCAGATAAGTTTTCAAGGACTCGCCTTCATCCTGATGAATGTCGCCCAGGTGTGTCAGGTCTTTTTGTGGTTTGATATTAGCGGCATAGTGGCTCATAAAGCAGTCCGCTAGCTCTTCGAAGCTACGAATCGACCCTGGCGGTTGTGCCACTAGCCACCTCTGTGCCGGTCCTTTTAACGTGGGCAGAAAAGCGCGACACATGACCGGGTCCTGAACTCCCAAGACCTGCACCTTGGCTTGGTAGCTTAGCAAATGCTCTCGAGGATCGCCGGTCCCATCGAACGTGGCTTGCTCCGGGAACTTGAAATCACCCGGTATCTTAAAGGCCATGACCTCGTCCGAGAAGGGTAGGGCGGTTAATAACGTACGTCCCTGGGGATTTGGCTTTTCCCTCCATCTGTTCTTTCAGATTTCGCACTTCTTGGACTAAGTTCGCCACTTCGACCCTCTCCCGGGTGTGGTTTCCTGTTGACTCCGTGCTCTCACCGACCTCAGACTCGGCCGGTTGGTCGTGGTTGCGGACGGGCTGCTCTACACGGCGAGTTTCAGTCCTAGTTCTTTTGGTACGGTTCTTCTCACGTGCAGTTTGCCGACCGCGAGTAGCTAACGGGGCACGACTGGGTTCCCTCCGACCCAGTCGTTCTCTTGCCGACTATCGTCCGGCGCTCGGACCCAACCGATTCAATTGATTTCTCAAGTCCGCCCCCAGTCTGTTATCGAGTCGGCTCGATTGTTCCTCACTTCCTGCCATGTCGGAAGCTTTTCTTATTCGTCTGAGATTCTTCTTGTTGTTTCCTGAACTCGCCTCGCTCAGGAGGACACGCGACTCTTAGTTTCGATCCCCACAGACGGCGCCAGTGATGGTTTTTGGGTTTTCAGGCCCAAGGAGGTCCAACACAACCTTTAGCTGGAGGATACACCTTTCAATAAAATGAGTGTCTCAATGGAAAGAAAGTGCTTGCTTAGAATCTCCTCTCCCTCTACAAGAGTGGAGGAGCCTTTATATAGCGGCTCCTCCCCCACTGACTTGAAGGCCTTTACTAGCCGACTTCAAGACTAATTAAGTATCGAGCCGTTGGTCGCTTTTACTGAGTCGGCCAACGGCTCTCTCAAGCTCGTAACAGCCGGACCAAGTCCAGCCTTTTAATGCTCTAACGGTTCCTTGTTTAAGAGTCTCTTTGATGATCCCAACGGCTCCTTGAGCCGAGTCTCTCTCTGGGTTTGGGGCCTGGCCGACTCTTCGCCCTCGGCCCAAGCTCCTGCTGGGCTCTTCTTTAGCAATCCTGAGCTAGGTCCCCGTACTTGGGCCTGGGCCGATTCCTGGACTCGGCCCAAGCACCCTCCGGGCTTCTCCGATGCTAGCCCACCTTTCCTGCCTTGGGCTCTCTTCTGTGGGCCAATCTTTCCTGGGCCGGGGTCCTTACCCCATCACTCAACTTTCTACTATACGATGGTAGGGTTGTTAACGAACCGAACATAAACGAATGAAGATTGTTCGTGTTCATTTGTTAAGATTTTTGGACTGTTCGTGTTCGTTTGTTAAGATTTTTGAAAATGTTGTTCGTGTTCGTTTGTTAAGCATTCCTCAGTGTTTGTTAACGTTCGCGTATACGTTCACGAACGTGTTCGTTAACATTAACGAACACGTTCATGAACATGTTTGTTAACAAGCACGTTCACGAACATGTTCACTAATATTTGAAAACATGTTCATTCACGTTCATGAATGCTTAATAACCAAATATATGAACATGTTCATGAACAAGAAATAATCTGTGTTCACGAAAAATAACCAAAAAAGTAACACATTATTAAACGAACACTAAATGAGCTTGTTCGCGAACATTATTAAACGAACACAAACATGCTTAGCTTGTTCACGATCTCTTAGCAAACGAGCTTACAACTATTTAGACTCTGTTCGTTTATAAACCGAGCTCTAAATTTTGTTTGTTAATGTTTATTTACCTTAATAAACGAACATAAACGAACGCTTACCGAACACGAACACGAATAGTTTATCGAAAGTTTTGTTCGCTAACATCCCTATACAATGGCCTGACTCATGTCCATGACAATTTTGCTTGATCTGATTGTCAACATATTGAACTTTTGTTGTGTAATAAATTGATAAACAATATTTGAGCCATTGACACTAATTGCTCAAATATTATAATCTCAATGCTAAGTATACAAGAGAGCTTAAGTTTAACTTAGCATTACATGTAGTCACCAAAAAAAAAAAAAAGTTTAACTTAGCATTACTCTCTCTTGATGAGTAATAAATTTTAGTTGGGGGAAGAGTAATAAATTTTAGTTAGATGTTATTTTTTTAAAAATGAAAAATAAAAATTACTGTAATAATTATTCATCATTTATTATTGAGTTAATACCCAAAATTGTCCTCGACTATAGTGGTTTTTCTCAATTTCGTCCTAAACGACTTTGGTGACCTAATATCGTCCCAGACTTTTGTGTTTCGCTCAATTTAGTCCCAGACTTTTGTGTTTTTGCTCAATTTAGTCCCTCATTTGTTATTTTGTCCATTTGGTGTTAAATAAATACACAATTCAGTAATTTTAATATTGGCATCTCTTTACTCATAGACATGTGAACTGCGAAATCCTGTTTTTTTTACGAATTACTCCCAGAATTACTCCTAAAACTGCGAATATAAAATT